ATTGTCAGTGTTCTGAAAATGTGTATGCAGTGAGTTGTTTTGACATTTCGTAGGTTTAGAGAACAATGCCGTTGTGGTAGGCTGAGTAAAGGCACCCAAAGATGTCCAGTAGTGAAGCCCTGGGACCTGTAAGTGCACTACCTTGCATGGTAAAGAGGCCTTTGCAGATGTAAAGTTGAGGGTCTTGAGGTGGGGGATGCCCTGGGTTATCTAGGTGGATCCAGTGTAATCAGTAGTTTTTCCTACGAGGTGTGGAGGGTCAGAGACATGGTGATGGATGCAGCAAGCTGGAGTGATGTGAGGAAGAGGCTGTAAACCAAGGAATGTGGACGTGAAAGAGACAAGGTTACCTATGAGCACCCAGAAGAAATACAAGCCCGCTGTTGCCTCGATTTTAACCCAGAGGGACTGAGTGGAGACTTTGGGCCCCCAGCATAGAAGACAATGGATTTGTATTTTTTTCAGCCACTGAGTATGTGGTGACTCATTATAGTAGCAGCAGGACTGTACTATAGACATTGCAGAGTTGTGGCTCCTTCAGGCACTGTGGGAAAGAATGCAGCAGAGGGTGGGTGGGGAGGACCTGTGGGCCTTGAGGTCTGAGTCTGTGTCATAATTTACGTTAGTGGCTCTCAAGACTCATATAATTATGGACTCGATCAAATCTAGCTTTGTGATTGGTTCGTTGTCTAGCGCTTGGATTGGTGGTGTGAGTGCTATGCCTGCCTAAGAGTGGAGCCAGCATATAGTGTAACAGTGGGGAAGAAGGTGTGTCTCTCTTGCTGGTTTGCTCTTTGCAGCCAGCTATGCAAGGCAGCCTGCTGTGGCACCCTGCCGCTTGGAGCTAGCTGAACCCTGCCGCTTGGAGCTAGCTGAGTATTGACTGAATCCTCCAAGAACTGTAAGAAATAAACCTTTCCTTCCCTAATTTTGGGCATCAGGTATTTTGTCTCAACAAGGAGTAAAAAAGTAACTAAGGCAGTCTGGGAGGGCAGTGTTGTGGCCGAGCACAGCTGAGCTCTGAGCACAGCTGAGCTCTGGAATCAGGCATGTCAGCAGGACAGCTGGGATAAGGTGCAGGTTCCCAGGCCCATTCCAGAAAGACCAGTTGGGAGGCAAAAGTGATTCAGGAAACTTAGATTTGGGAATTTGGAGTGCTCAGGACACACACTTGGTGCTGGGGTTTCCAGATGAAGAAAAGCACATCCTTTGAGGCTGCAGGAGGGTGGGCTTCTGCGCATACCAACAGGGAGAGAGGTGAAGAGGAAGTGGCAGGGGGGAACCAGCTCCTGCCTGCTGTTGGCACAGGGAGCCAAAGTCTGGCCAAATGCTGAGCTACTTCAACCGCAGAAGCCAGAGGAGTTTGGATCTGGGGAGGAGAGTGAGCGGTGAAGGAGCTGTCAGTCTGGGAGCAAGAGGCCCAAGGCAAGCTGCTGGAGCTGGAGGGGTGTCACGGGAAGCTGGCTGCCTTGTTTCCTGGGAGCAGCGGAGGGCCAGGAGCAGGAGAGAGTAGGTGGTGGGGAAAGCCGAGGAGAAGCCAAGCACCGAGGAGGAGCCGCTCCAAGACTGGAGCCAGAAGAGGGGCTGGGTGCAAACTGCGGGAAGGAGGGAGCAGGGCCGTTGGGGGCAGGAGCAGAGGAGGGCCTTTACGTGTCAGAGAGGGGCACAGGCCAGAGGTGTCTGTGGTCCCTGCTCAGAGCTCCTTCTTCATGCCAGTCTTGAGTGAGGTGCTTTATCTATGTTTTGCTTTTCCTTCTCAACAGTCCTGGAAGAAAGACTAATCTTGCTTCAGAGGTGAGGAAAAGGTTCAGATGGGTAAAACCGTATGTTCAGGGTCAAACAGCTGGCTGCTAAGTGATTAGCTGTGAGTGCTTGAGTTTTGAGGCTCTGAAATGTGTGTTTGGTTTTAAAATTTGCTGCTTTCCACATCTCAGTAAAGCCTGGCTTCTTTCATTCATTCACTTGCTTGCTACACATTCATTTGTTGCCTGTAAAACCCATCACTACTTAACATTAGGACAAGAAAGGCGAGGTGGCCATGACTGGATTCTGCTTACCCATACGTAGAGAGGACCCACATTGCTGGCTGGCATCCAAGGAAGGTGTCTGGGCTGCACCCCACCTTCCTGCTGCCCCCACTCTGCTCCCCAGCCTTCACTTCCAGCCCAGACACCTTCCTTGTGTGCCAGCCAGCAACATGGGTCTTCTCCAAATAAGATATTAAGTCCTGATGTGTTTTACAGGTACCGAATGAATGTCTAGCAAGCAAGTGAATGAACGAAAGAAGCCAGGCCAGTCTGCCCTGGCATGGGGCCCCTAACGCCTGTCTCTAGGACTTCACTTCTTACCCAGCAGGGGGCTGCAGCACTGGGTTGGTGTCTGGCCTGTGGCAGCTCTGTGACACAGGAGTGGGGCATTGCCTGCAGTGGCCTGGTGAGCATGGGGAAGGCTCAGCTGGGGAGATGGGAGTGTGTGCCAGGGCCTGGCTGGTCAGAGCAGCAGCCGCCAGGCTTTGTGGGGCGGTCCGCTCAGTGTTTAGGTTGATATAGCTTATGTGCCAGGTGCCCTGGAATGTGCTGGGAATGTGGCAGTGAGGAGCCAGATGTGCCCTCTCCCTCTTGAAGCCTAGCAGGGGAGGTGGTCTTTCCTAAAGGACCTTGTTTGAGCACAGCTTCAAGTTGCTATCTTAGCTCCCTTGGAGGAGTCATGTGGGTGTCCTGGAGGAAGCAGGTTAGAGGAGGGCGAGTAAGGGGGAGGCGGGTGAGTTGAAGGGGCTAGGGGAGCTCAGCTACAGCCCTGCAGGTGAGGGCCTGGGGTTTTCCCGAGGAGGAGCTGAGGACAATTCATGGCCAAAGTTGGCTCTCTGAGGGCTGAGCCTCTGACTTGCTGTCCTTAGGTCTCGGACTTCAGAGCCTCTTGAGGACAGGCCAAGGCTCCCTGTCCACTGCCCTTGCCTCTCACACCCCCAGGCTGCACCCTCGGAGCCCTCCAGCCTCCTGCCCTCACCTTCCATCCACCAGAAGCCTTTAATGGGTATAGCCCATTGCAATCTCCCTTTTCCAGATGAGGAGCTGAGGCTGAGAGATGAGATGTCTTAGTCTGTTTTCTGTTGCCAATAACACAGTACCACGGTTGGGGATGTAATCTAAAAAAGACGTTTATTTTGGCTCCTGGTTCTGGCCCAAGGTCAATGGGCCACATCTGATGATGGCCTTTGTGTTGGCAGAGTCTTGATGTGGTGCAGGGAATCACACCACAGGAGACCTGGTTCAGCTGACTTTTAGAACAGACCCATGCTTAATATAATCCATTAACCTATTAATCCATTACTCACATGAACGGATTAATCCATTCCCGAGGACAGAGCACTAATCACCTCATAAAGGTCCCTCCTATTCCTGCTTCTTACAGCCTGATTATGGGGATTAAATATCCACATGAGCTTTGGAAGGGACAGACCACACTCCAACTGTGTTGAGAAAAGTGTTGCCCGAGGTTCTAGAAGGTACAGAGCAAAGCTGGCTCCAAGCCCAGGCTCGTGACTCTTCAGCCGAAACCCTGAGTCAGGTGCTGCCCCTTCACCACCAGCCTCAGTTTCCTCAAGTGTAGGCTGAGGCTCTGCCTTGAGGGCCGTGGTGAGAATTATGTGGTGCTGGGGATGGTGAAGCACCAGGGACAGTGCCTGGCCGGAAAGGCCCTTGTCCCAGGCCTGAGAAAGCCCCGAACTGATAGAGGACAGCCATTCCTCCCACCCTTCCTGCTGAAAGTGCCCAGCTTCCTTTCTCGGCAGCATGGACCTTCAGGGCACTAGTTTCTTGCCCATATTAGGTTTACCTGGGGAAGGGAAGGACCTGGAGAGAGGATGGTGTGGGAAAAGTGGGTGTTGTCCGCAATGGGTGTTGCCCATTTTGGGAAGAACACTTGTAACTAGTAGAAGTTTGTTTGTTTTTTGAGTAGGGAAACATAGAAACATCACTTCACTCAATTCGGTTTGCTATGTCAATTTAATGCAAATTCATTCCTGCATTCAATAAATCCTTATTGAGGCCAGGGGTGATGGCTCACGCCTGTAATCCCAGCACTCGGGAGGCTGAGGCAGGAGGGTTGTTGCGAGTTTGAGACCAGCCTGGGCTACAAAGTGAGCTCAAGGCATAGTAAGACCCTGTCTCAAAAAAAAAAAAAAAAGAAAGAAAGAAACCCTTACTGAAACATCTGTCTTGCGTTTTGCCCTGTGTTAGGGCCCAAGAAGACAGATAAGAAAAAGCCGACAGCGTGTGTCTTTAGAAAGGGACTGGCTGATGGGATGGCAGATAAGGAAGGCCACACAGGACCTGTAGTTTGTGTAGAGACATTTTTGTCTTGATTCCTAGAGCAATGGGGATTCATCGAAGGGTTTAAATAGGGAGGGACTTGATCAGGTTTGCAGTTTGTAAAGACCACACTGGCTGTGGCTTAGTGAGCAAATTGGAGGGGAACCAGAAGAACGTGAGAAAGCCGTTTGGGGGCTCTGCAGGGCTGCTGGGGGGTGCTGGGGTCTGTGGTTCTCAGGCCTGGGGTCAGGACAGTGGTGGTGGAGGGACAGTCTTCCCCCCTCCAAGCTCTCTGGGCTTGGCTGCAGACCTTCAGTTCTGTGATTTGGCTGTGGCTGAGGTCGGATTTCAGAGCACAGAGCTAAGAAATGGGTTCCTAGCCCTGGAGGTCTTCTCACTTACAGTGAGAGGCATTCCAGGATGAAAAATGCAAATGAAGGAAGTACAGGGAGACCCCAGAGCTGCCCATGAACGCTTAGGGTGTTTTTTTTTCCTGCAGTCCTAGCAAATGTGAGGGTCCATGTTTTGTTTCTCAAAAGACACCCAGATGCAGGTGATGAAATTTTTTTTTTTTTTTTTTTTTTTTGTCTTTTTCCTTTTTATCGGTACCGGGGATCGAACTCACGACTGCCTGCTTGCAAGGCAGGCGCTTATGCCGCTGAGCTAAATCCCCAGCCCCGAAATTTTTTTTTTAATGTGGAGTGCTTCACTAATTTGAGTATCATCCTTGTGCGAGGGCCGTGCAAATCTTCTGTGTTTCATTCCGATTTTAGAATATACACTGCAGAAGCGAGCCCTCAAATTCTTATATCCTAAGAGTAGTGAAAAAATCCTTGTGTGTTTTTGTTTTTTCCTTGGTAACTTTGCTTTGGAGGATTTTCTCCAATTCTGTTGTCACTGGGGTTTTCTTTTCAGTCCAGGAATTGACAGACATTGGGGCATTTGCCATCTTTACACCCTGGGAGAAAGATAGGGTGAACTCACCACTTTGGGAAGTGAGAGAACTATCTTAGAGAGTCTGTCCTGGTCTTTAGCATCCCAGGGAGAAAGTAGCCAGCTCCTCCTGCTCAGCCTGGCTCTGCCAGTCCAGGCCCCGCCTGAGCTGGAGACACCACCTCCCGAGGAAGCTGTGGTCCATGAGGAAAATACCAATGGTAGTGGCAGAAATCATTACTGCAGGTAACACGATATGGAGAGGACTAACAGGCCCAGCATTGTTCTTGGTGTTTTAGAAACAGGAAGTCACCTAACCCTACTACATCTCTAAGAGGTGGGCACTAACGTCATCCTCATTTTACAAGTGGGGAAACTGAGGAACAGAGGCGTTAAGGTGCCTAACCAAGACACACATGCAGAGTGATGGCAGAGCAGAGAGTTGTCTAATGTGGTCTCACTACAGGGCTCTGGAGCAAGGCTTCCAGTCTAAGCTCCCAAAGTGACTCTTCAGCCCTGTCTGAGGTTGAGTGCTTGGGACGAGGGAACAGGGTGATGATGGAACAGGCTGCGTCCAGCAGCACGAAGTGTGGTGGTGTAGGGAAAGACAAGGAGTCACGTGGTTCTGGGCTCAGTGCGTGCTGTGTTTTTAGCTGGATGGTAATGGGCAAGTTGCTTCACCAGGCTGCCTCAGTTTCCCCATCCACAAGTTGGAGAAGACATGACTCACCTCCTGTGTTGAGGCCAGTGAGATGCAGTGTGTTTACAGCCGGGCCTAAGGTTTTCACACAGTAAGTGCCCAATAAGGTGACGTGTGAGTGTAACCTGTGGTGACCCATGGAGACCTAGGCCTGGGTCCTAGGTTCTTGGAGACACTAGGCCAGAGACTGTTCCAGTGGGCCCACTGCTACCTGCCGTTCCAGCTGCAATAGTCTTGGGGTTCCTGCAAGTTACTGGCAGCTGCTGGATCTGGGATCTCCATGGCAACACTGAGGGACCACCTGTTGTTGGAGAGGCCAAGCAAGCTGTGGAACAGTGACCCCTTGCCTCATTCCAGCAGCTTCTTCAGGGGGTCAAGTGGACCTGCCTGGCTCAGAATAAAAACTCATCCTGTGGCCATCTGCTGAGGAGGGAGGTAGCCTCTCAAGTGGAGGCCTTTTCACAGCCTAAGTGGCAATAATGCACCCTACGTGCTATTGAGCTGCTTCCTCCGCTTGGGGGTGGAGAGAGAAGGAACAGCCCTGGCATTAGGTAGAGAGTGAGGCTGATGGGAGACAGTCTTGCCCGGAAACCAGCAGTGAGGCCTCCGAGGGGGAGGTTTTATTTCCTTTGCTGTCTGCACTGTTCCTCCTCTCTGCCTGGCCAGGTCTCTCTTCTTGAGCAGGCCCAGTGATAGGTAGGAAGTGAGGGCGGCGGCAGGGCTTGGGTGCAGGGCTACGCCCCTGTGTCTGCCCTGCATACACTGGTATAAAAGGGGGAGAGAGGCCTGCAGTGCTAGTTGTCATCAGAAGATCTGTTGGCTTGTCCATCCCCAACCCTCCTTTGTGATTCCATCCTTAGCATTCCTAGGTTTCCTTTGGGCCTTGTCTTAGCAGTTGTTTTTGCCTTCATTTTCCTACCTGTGAAATGGGAGTATTTATCATGGACACTGCTTTATGAGCCGTGGCTGCTGTGAGAAGGAATAAAAAAAGATGATAAGATTCATTGGATTTCTCATGACCGTTGACTGAGTAATTCCTTTTCTGGGATGTCTTCTTCTTAGATGCCCACCGAGACTTATGCAGTATTGTTTTTAAGTGAGAAATGTCAAACCAAGCCAGGTGTTCCAGGAGCAGGGAGCAGGGAGCAGTTTAGGCACGTGACACACCCAAGTGAAGGGACGCTTTAGTTAGAACCACCGCAGGGCAGCAAGCCAAGCATAAGGCTGTGGAAGTGTGTGATAGTTATGCCTTATTCATTCTTTAGGATGCTATGAAAGGGTTTCGTTAGTCTAATTGTTGAATTAAGTCAATTATATAAAAATTGTATCCAAGGAAAGAAGACTTGAGAGAAAAAATCTTCCAAAATGTTGGTGGAGGTTATTCTTAGTGGTCATTCTTATGCGTGGTTTCATTTTTCCTTTATTTTTCAGGAAATTGAAAAAAATTCAAAGATTACATCATTACCCTTATTTTTAAATGAAATAACTTGGATATTATATTAGCTTATAAATATAGATGAGTTTTAAAATTACAATGCAGAAAAGCATAGACAAAACTAAAATCACCTCACGTCCCACTACTTAGAGTTAGTCATTAATGGGCTGCTCGTGGCCTCGGCCCGCCCGGGCTGGTGCTCCTGTCACGGTGTATGCATGCACAGCAATAGGGCTCTTCACCTACAGATGTGCTGTAAACCACTTTCTCTGTCGTGGCGGCTTTCCCTGTCAACCAAAACAGATATGCACCCTTTTCAGTGGCTGTGCAGTCCGTCTCGTTTCACGGATGTGCTGAATTCAGCTAAGCAATGCTCTGTTGATAGCCACTTCACTTGTTAACCCTTCTGCCCTTCTGTGTAAGGCTGACATACCTTTATAACAAGGGAAACAAAACAACCAAATTTGTCTCGCACTTTTGGACGTTTCAGAGGACGACCTAAAGAAAGACTGCCTTGCTTGGATGGGAACCACTTAAAAGGGCTTGCAATGATGATTTTAATGCTTGAAGAGTGGTCATGTTGTAGAAGGAACACATTGGTGGGCTGTTACAGTTCAAGAAGAAAAGACTTTTCAGCTGGGCAAGGTGGCAACTGCCTATAATCCCAGCACTGGAGAGACTGAGGCAGGAGGATTGGCACAAATTGGAGACCTGTCTGGGCTACATAGTGAGTTTAGGGCCAGCCTTAGCTACATATGAGATCCTGTCTCAAAAAACAAAACAAAACAAAACAAAACAAAACAAAAAAAACAAAAAAAGACTTTTCAGTGGGTCCTGACAACACACACTATACTCTTTGGAGACTGAGGCCGGAGGACCAAAAGTTTGAGCTCAACTGGGTGATTTAGGAACTTTATGAGACTTTGAGAAACAATACCAACAAAAAACAATAACAAACAACAACAGAACTAAACCCAAACAACGATAATAACCAAAGGACTGGGATGTAGGTCAGTGTAAAGATTCTGGGCTCAATCCCCAGTATGGAAAACAAAATAACACCAAAGAACAAAGAAAACCAAACAAAAACCAAAAAACCTTTTAAAAACCTTGTCCATTGGAAAGGGCCGTTGTCACATGGAAAAGGCATCCTCAGGGCACTTAGGACAGGGAAGCGGCTTGGTCTGGGGTGCTTGTCAATGGCCTGCTAACTTGGGGAGGCATCGTACCCTGCTCAGAACCTTGTGGAAGAGAGACAAGGAACAGAAAGATTTTTCTTCAGTTGCTCCTAAGGATTGGGAGCCGTGCCCGGGAAGGGCAGAGGGAGTGGGTTGAACTGATCATTGACCTTGTTAACTTGGGCTGAAAGCCTGGGCCCCACACTCAGACAACTGTGGCTGTGGATTCTGTCATCTACCAGCTGCTGGCCTTAGGAAGGTGCTGGTGTCTTAGAGCTGCCCTTTCTTCAAAGTGAAACGGCGGCTATTTGCAAGTCTCACGTGGGGATGCATGTCTTGGGTGTGTGGAAGTCAGTGATGTGTGGTGCTATTCTTAGCGGAGGCAGCTCTAGACCAGTGGTGAACCCACTGGCACTTGTGCTGCAGAGAGCTGTTTGTTAACACTGAAGGCTCTAGAAGGTTCACCATCACTGCGGTAGCCCATCATCCCAGTGGTGGCTCTGTCAGCACTCAGGCCACGTCACCCCAGTAGCCAAGCATCAGAAAACAGTTGGTTTTTTCTAAACTAAAACCTCAGTATTCATGGTTAAGTTCAGTGTGGGTGCTTTGTGATAAATCTAAGGGTTTGTGGTTCCAGTTTGAGGACTTGGTCTCTAAGAGGTTCACCATTATTGGTCAGCACCATGGCTTGCCTAGGCCGTACTGGGTAAGGCTTCCCTGTCTTCTCCTGCTTAGAGTATGGACAGCTAACTGGAGCCAGGGCTGGTAGATGATGATATTGTGGTGTTGCCAAGGGGGCTCTTGCAAACCCACCCATGCTCTCTACTGGCTTATGCTTCTGTGAATTCCACGAGGTGGACACTGTCAGTATCCCCATTTTACAGATGAGGAAACTGAGGCTGAGTGAGGATGCCATCTGAACAGCCCCTGTCATTGGCTCCTTTCTCACTTCTTTCCTGGGTCAGTGTCTTGTCTCTCCAACCAGATTGAGACCTTCAGGGTAGAAAAACCATGGTTTTGCTTTCCGCAGTACCTGCAGCTATGTGTTCCCTGCCTTCTCATTCCTGCTCGCAGAATGTTTCTGGCAAAGAGGGCCCCACTTATCAGACCTTAACACAGACCTGGGGGTCCAAGCTGGGAGTCCCCAGCCTGTCGGTGAGGTGACTGGGTGGAGCTAGGTGGAGAGGAAGCCAGGCGCTGAGAGCCTGGCCTGGGCCCTGCCGGGGCCTCTCACCACTTTTTCTCTTTTCTCTGCCAGGGAACTCAATGGCAACAATATCACCCGGATCCAGAAGAATGACTTTGCTGGGCTCAAGCAGCTCCGGGTGCTGTGAGTATGGGGTGCTGCTCCTCGAGTGCCTTACCCAGATGGCAGAGGGCCTGGGCTGGGCAGATAAGCTCCCTTGTCCATTGACTGAGTCCTGGGGGGCAGTGAGGGCCATGGGGCTCTGAAGAATCTTTTTTTTTTTTGTGGTACCTGGGATCAAACTCACGACCTTGCACTTGCCAGGCAGGCACTTACGCTGCTGAGCTAAATCCCTGGCCCT